TTTTGGAAATTCAGAAAATGCCGAAATTTAATGTCTTTTCTTTTCACAATTTGCTTTGGGAAGAAGATTCTCAGTCAAATTGACTGTATTTGAAACTCTGAAAGGGTGGCAAAATATTTAAGTGTCAAATGATGTAAAGTGGTTTGCAGATTTTGAAAGTTAGACCAAAGCCCAAAGCCTAAAGCCATTTTTCAGTTAGTGCGACACCATCTTCTAAGATGTTACAGAGAAAGCAATTTCTCTTTCTAGCGTAGGAGACGAGACTATTTTCGATTAAACACGCAATCTTCTGAAATTTAGCAAAATAATGACTTCATTCTCATCAAACGGTAATTTATGAATTTTTGAAAGTTTTAAAGCGTTTCTTTGAAAAAATAAAGAGGGGCTTTAGCTCCTACTAGCCTAGTATGATGCCCATACAATTATGCGTAATTATGGTCAGGCATTGAACATGTGCTTATAAAACAATTGACTTTTCAGAAAAATATCTGACAACATCTTTGGAAAAATGGATTTTAAGGGATCCTCATGCCACCTGTTTGTGTAATTGATAATTTTGCAGATTGATGGGCTCCTTCTGTATGAGAAAGACATGGTAAAAGGGACAAAGAATCTCTAAAGCAAAACACAGATATTATTCAGTAACGAAAATTATTTAAGTTTAAGGAAAGATTGGAATACTTTAATAAGTTATCTTCAAAACATACGGCTTAATCTTCCATTAATACTTGTAGGAGTTTCATATTTTCCAGGCTCTTTCTGTATAATTCCAGGTTTGAGGTTTTTCTGCCAAGTTCCAAACAAGGAGAAGGGAGAGGGGGGAGTACGGCTGGTCATTAGTCAGGGGATGAAAAGCCCCGTTTGTCACTAGACACGACTTTTGAATAAAGTTGGACAAAATTTCTTTTTAGTAAAAAACGCAGGAGTTTTAGCGCTTCAAATACAAAATCAAGATGCCTTTGAGTTCTTAGTCGAAATGCAAAATTAAATAGCCTGTCACAGGACGTTTAAAAAATTTAATCCTTTATCATTCCTAGAGCAGACTTAACTATTAAGGGATATTTGATGGTCCAAGAAAAGAGCCAGGGCCTTTTTTAAGAAATTTTCAATACTGCACATTTATAATCATATTTTTTATAGGAATTTTGTTGTTGCAATCAGTGCAAAGCCCTGCCAACCCCAGGTATCTTAGCCATGCAAGTGTAGCGAGAAAATTGCCCGAATTTTGAACACGTGTATAGGCCATGACGGAGAAATCACAAACAGATAGACGATAATATACACAATCAATAATAACATTTCAAAACAGCAACAAAACAAACAGAAGCTACAAAACCTGAATAAAAACATAGTCATTTATCTCTTGTAAACGGAGTCACTATCTCATGTTTTGTCTGGACGGTAAAACAAAAAGGTTTTATTAGGCTCTTTATCTTTCTTTTAGTTTAGTTAAGTGAGCTTCTGCTAGATGCCCAGAGCATCATAGGGCAACTGATAAATTATTACTGAATGTTTTATCTTCGACAAGATCAAATTACGAAATTTACAGCAATGCTGACATTCATAGGAGATGTTTTGTTTTTGGTTGTGGGAATTTCGCTTTGTTTTCAGTTTTGATAAGAGAGTCTTTCCGATGGTTATACGAGAATTACAATACATGGACTCTATATCGAACTGACGAGGAAAATTCACAGTTTTTGAACAAAGCAGGAATCTGGGATAGCCGCAAATAGACATTTTCACAAATCTGTACATTTTCTGTACAATACTGTGCATTTTCGAAATCAATACTGCACGTTTTTATATTGATACTGCACAAAACGTGTAATACTGCACACTAAAATAGGCCCTGGAAAGAGCATCATCATTCAAGAAAGGAACATGCACAAATTACATAACAAAATAAAATTAATAGAGAGTGCGGGAAAATAACCGACCCGAGCGAGGCTTGAATCACGACCCCTGACTTTGTACGTCAAGTGCTCTACCGCTGAGCTATCGGGTCGTGCTTTCAAGCCAACACCCAAGGCCGAGTCATTCACCCGCACTGCCCCTCTCTTTTACCAGATACGCAGGGGAGCCATCGCAGCTCCATCACAAAGTGCAGAGGACCTGAAGAATGAGAGAAGACTGCCCACACCAGGAGGGCCATCGCAGCCCCCAACACTGGATAGGGTTGAAGAGAAAGTTTACAGACAACAGGATTTCGAAGATAATTAATAGAGATAACAAAATATAGGCAACACTGGAAAAATCCTCTTCACCCTAAATTATCATCCATTTTGCATCATTTATTAATCATTATGACCGTAAAAATTTGTGTGAACCCCCTCCGAAGAACGAATCAGAGTTGACAGTTGACTCAATCCGGGCTGACTCACAATTGCGTTTGGAAACCAAGTTTAAACCCACTTTCCGTTTAGAATACAAATTGAACAGAGTTTACCCTGGGTGAACTCAACACAGGTTAAACCCGGGTAGCTTCTTGTAGTGTAAACCGGGCTTTCGATTGGAAATAATTTCACTTGCTTTAGTTATTAAGCGTCGGACGAAGAGTTCAAGTGAATTTTGTTCCACTTTTCCGAGCTATTTTGAACATTATTTCTTCCTTGTACTCATATTGTAGTTTTTTAAATGTATTATCAGTCATTCTATCAGTTCAATTTTGCCTAGGCAGGCTTAAGAAGGTACCTTTCAGAGTTGTTTCAATGTTCGCAACTTATCAAAATATAACTTTCGCGACATTAGATCTGCAAATTTTTTTGATAAAAAAAGAAATTATGCTTTTTTGCTTTGCTCTCCTTTTCAAATGAATGTATAGCGAAGGGCTGGGGGGGGGGGGCTGAGTGTGAGAAGTGACGTCATTGGCAATATAATAGAGGGGTTCAGAGAGGTGGGGACACAGGGGGGCAGGGGGCCTAAAAATCTTTAAATTATAGGTGATAGCATTTATGTATGACCCTGTCATGAATGTCAAATGTCTTGTCTACACTATACTATCGAACCTTGTTTCGGCCTGGGTAGGGGGTAGAGTGAATCCAAGTAATATTTTCTGTAGTGCGAACACAAAGTTACCTAGCCAAGGTTAATCTGGGCTGACTCGGCCCGGGCTGACTCGGCTCGGCCTGGGCTGACTCGGCCCGAGTACTGGTTTTTATAAAAAAATTAGTGAATACAACATGCACCTAGCAGCATACCCTTCCCTCTACAACGCGTATAAATGGTTGATGACACTTAGCTGCACCCAAGTTTCCTTTGAAACATTATTCAGCGCTACTGATAATTTTAAAAGAAGAGAAAACTTTCCACTTGATTACGAGCAAGTCATTGGCCAATTTACTGATTCATTTGCACCTCGTCGAAAAGAGTTGAAACTCTGAGAATTTAAATAAGTTTTGATCTTGATTCTTAACTCTACATGGGATTTTAAAGCCTGTTTACACGAGAGAAAAGGTATGGATCCAATTGGGCCCGAAATTACGAATTACAGTCGATATATTGCTGCTGTTTAGCGTATTGCTTTATTATCAATTTTTATTGAATCAATCGTATTCTAAGCCACATTTTTAGTGGGTGTGGCTAAATTTTTCCCACCACGCCCTAAACCGGGCCCTTGAGTTTTCTAGCCACCCTGCGATTTTGACGCAAGACCGCCCCTGGTTCTGTAAACAAACAAAGAAAAAGTAACTAAATCCCATCTTTGTACAGTGCCGTTGGAACGAAATCCATATTGGGGGGGGGGGTGCTTTCCATTGTTTTCCTTCTCATTCAGTACATTGTATAAAGGAAACATACTACAGTTTGACAATTATCGGGGGCCTCCAGCCCCCCCAGCCTCCCTCCCCCGGTTCCGACGGGCCTGTTGTACAAATGTGTTAAGAAATTTATGCATGCGTGCAGAGCAAGGACAACAAAATGTAATTGTATATATAGCACAGATTTGCTATATGGGGGCTTCAGTCCCCCACTTTTTTTACAAAAAGAAAAAGAAGAAAAAAAGTGCGTTAAATCCTGTTATTGCTTAAATTCCAAGGAATAAAAAGTCTGTGGGGCCTTATAAGGTAATGAATTCCACTTTAAGACTGGAAGAACTTTAAGGCACTAAAAGCATACTTTAAAAATAGCAAAATGCTTCAAACAATTGCAGGAAAATGACTATAAGAAATATTCTGAAATGAATTTCAAGCTTATCTAAAGGGCGTGGCCGCAAAAATTTTCTGCTCACTTTGCTCACAGGGAAGCCTTTTCTTTTAGCTATTCTGTGACCTTGGGCCTCCGGCAACCTCTCGACAGCTTTTCCAGTGTACCTCTTTTACAAAGCGAATGCCCCATAAAATCATCCCCGATTGAGTACCAAAAATTTCGTTGGGATCTTTTTTCGGTGAAGCAGGGCAACCGAAAATGAGCATAACAGAATTTTTTTTCTTACCAAAATTTTCAAACGCTAAGAAAATATCCTTTTACGCCGATGGGCTTAAAAATAAAAAAAATCTTCTTGAAATTGTTAGAGTCTTTTTATGCACCCATACATATCAATTTTCAGTTTCAAATAAGATATTCACCTCATCTTCACTTTCTTCTCTTTTGCCCTCTACAGCCAAGAAATTAGCATTCTCTATGGGTTGTGCTGATGCTTCTACTGGCTCTGCGTGAATTCTCCCAATTCTTTCTTTCTAACGTTCACTTTGGACTCCTTAAATTTTAACTCACATATCTTTACCCACAGAAATTTTTCTTTTCACCGAAAATTAATCCATCGAAATTTTTTGGTACTTAATGTATGATTTTATCCCTCGACTTTCTGCAATCTCAGGAGTTTGTGCAAATTTTCTCATGCTTTATGCGGTTTTCAATGCACCAAGTGTTTTTCACACCCAGCATATATTGTCTACATCGAACCTGCAAAATGATCATCATTCTTATACTTTTGATAAAGTTTAGGATAATGACAATATCTCCGCCTTTTTGCCCTACTTCGGCTTATGCCATCAAAGTCTTGGTTGTTTTGCTTCAGCCAACGAATTTTGGAAGCCTTGCACCCGATTGCACTTTCTGCATTTGAAAAATTGCTTAGACAGGTGCCAGGTTCTGGTTCCTTTGGCAAAAAATATGTTTGGGTTTAGGGGCTGCTTGAAATGGCAGGATAGTGGCTCGTTATGGTTTCATCACCAAACCGAATGTGGACAAAGCCATGTATGAAATATTTCACATACTCCTTTGTATTTGGCTTTCATTCGAGTGGAGGCATCTGTTATGAAGTGAACCTTATTTCTTTTTATTATAATGAATCATATACTGAACCTTGCTTTGATTGCCCTGTGCAACTTTTGTTTTGCTATGCTTTTGTTGTGTTAAAAAGACAGTTACGTAAAGTAAGTTGGGTGTTGCGTGGCAGTGGTGGCGCCAGAGGGGGGGCAGGGGGGGCTACAGCCCCCCCGTCGGAGGAGGCTAGCCCCTCCGTCGGAAGATAAATTATGCTTGAATTTTTTTTGTCGGAGCGAATTTTTTAAGTTTTGGCGGAAATAGAAATTTCTAAAAGGACTGTTATCAGAATTCAGGAAGCTCATCCCAAAACAACTCATCGACACATCAATTTCATGGTAAATAATAATCTGTTATAAGAAGTTTGAATTGGTTGTTTAGATGTTCAGTACCAGGTGTTTTCCGCATGCTGTTAAATTTGATCTTATGTTATGGATAGTGCAGTTCGTCCAAATCTTGCTTGCTATAACCAACCTACAACATCGGAATATTTTTGTGCGATAGCGATATGGCAACAAATGTTACCCGTTTCAGTGTTAGATGTAGTATATGTAATGACGTATTTAACAATGATTACGCTGCCCGCCACACGAAGTCCAAGCACAAAGATTTGGCTGCAATGGGAAGGACTGCTCCTACGACGGCAATAGTTGAAACGGACTCGCAGCAGAGAAAAATAAAAACATTTTTTCAATCAAAAGGCGGTACTTTTCCAAAGAAACGAAAGGTTAATGATTTTGAAACTGAAAGAACAACAGAAGACCCCGAAGAACAAGAAGTTGAAATTTCGAAAATTCAAGACGAAGAGCAAATCGAACGTGGTATGTTATACGTTTTAATATTTAAGTCCTTTTAATACGAGGAAAAACACTTAGCAAAGGGCTTCAGCCATAAAAACAATCAAACTCATTTACGTAGTAGCTAAGCCATTTTACCCCATCCCAACCATACATATTTGTAGTGTTTTGCTTCTACGTACACGTTTTTTTATTTATAAGAAACTTGACTCAAGCCCAGAGTACTAATAGTTTCCAAATTTCTTATTTTTTACTATTTTTAAGGGAAACCATCTATTACTATTTACGATAAATCCTTCTAGTTTTTTTTATAAACAAGTTCCTTATTAAGAAAAAAACGTGTATTTTTATAGGAAACCTAGCTCTCCAGAAATTAAAAGTTTCTTATTTTCGGACCTATATAATATGGGATTTCACTGCGACTGCGACATATTTAAACAAATATACCTGGCTATGACTGGATGAGGAATAAACCTTGTTAGACGTATAAATTTCTTCGTTTTATTTACAAATAAAAATAATTTTTTGGATGATTTTGATATTAAGAGTCACAAAAGATTGATTAGTAAAAATGCCTTTTTGTCCATCTCCCAGGAGATATTATAATCTTTTTCACACATGTAAAACAGGGTAGTAAATCATTTGTTTAAACTTCCAGGTACAACTTCTAGCTTGGACCCCGAAGTCACGAATGTAGATGCTGACAACTACGTCACCATTTCGGAAGCCGAACAGTCGATGTCGGACATTGTGGAAGCAGCAAATGAAAGCGACAGCAACGAGGATATCGAGGAAAATTTGGAACAGTTGGAACTCGAGTTGGAAGATGAAGTTGATCCTGCAGGATTATCAGCCGAAGGTATACTAACTAGCTATCAGATATAATCGTAACTCTCCATTAACCAGCGGCGTAGGGGGGTACTAAAAAGTGGAAGGGCGCGTGAAAAAAGGGCACCTTGGTATGTAATTAAGACGAAGGCAAACCCTGCTAGAAGGGCACGGGGGCATGCTCGCCCGGAAAAGTTTTGCATATAAGCAGCCACTTTGGCTCCCATAGCCTCTTTCGCACTAAAGCTCAAAGAAAAGTCTAAAACAATGAAAAGAGGCACTTCTCAGATATAAAATAGGGCACTGCCAAGAACTTAACAGGAAAAAAGTTTGCAAAGTGTGATGGATAATTTTTTTCGTTTTAGCACTTCAAGGAGATTCGAGAGGACCGCAACTTACACTATCCGTCGCTGGCCCCAAGGACATATCCTCAACCAAAGACGGCGGACCTGTGCAGCCTCGTAATATTTCCTTCCCTACACATTTGATTGGCAATCAGCATCGCGCATTCACACCTTTGCTGTATGAAAAGTATCCCTGGATTGAGTATTCGCAAATGGAGGATGCCATCTTCTGTTTCCACTGTCGTAATTTTTCAGAGAATCGGAAGGATCCAGCGTTTGTTAGTCAAGGCTTGCGCAATTGGAAAAGATGCTATGGCACCAAAGTGAATGATAACAAACTCTTGCAACATCAAACCAGCCATCTTCATGCCCAAAGTGTAGCTGCTAAAGCGCACTATGAAAACGTTAAGTCTGGAAATTTTCAGACCATTGCCACACTTCATGATGCCGCTTATTCGAAACTGGTTAAAGACAACAGGCATTACATGCGAGTGATTTGCGAAGTCCTGCTTCTCACTGCTCAGCGGAAGATTGCCCAACGTGAGACTGGAGGTTCATTTCGTGTTGCCGATATAAATAAAGAAGCTCTAGACTATGGACCTTCTTGTGGTAATTTTCTTGCGATACTTGGTCTTCTTGCAAGGCATGACCCAGTTGTTGCTGACAAAATCCGCACTGGCCCGAAAAATGCAAAGTATACTCACCACAGCGTACAGAATGCCATCTTAGACATTATGAAAGACATGGTTCTTGAGCAAATAAAAAGTGAGCTCAATAAGGCTCAGTATTTTACCGTCCTTTCAGATGAGTCTAAAGATAGAAGCAAAAAAGAGCAGCTTGTTGTTGCAGTCCGTTACTGCTACGAGAATGCCATACATGAGGAATTTATTGGCATTGCTGAGGCGCAAAGTTTAGATGCAGATGGTCTTTCAGACACAATAATTGAACGATTGCAACGCATCGAAGCCAACATGAAAGCATGCGTGGGGCAAGGCTACGATGGAGCTTCTGTTGTTTCTGGTCACCTGAATGGCGTTCAAAGGAAACTTCCTCTGAAAACCGGTGCTGAAATGGCTTACTACGTCCATTGCTTTTGTCATCGATTGAACCTTGTGATCGTCGATGTTGTGAAATCAATCAGTTGTGTGGCAGACATGATATCGCTATTCAGAAGCCTGCATTCTTTTCTGAGCAGCAGCACCGTTCATGTACGATGGGTAAAGGTCCAAGAGGATCACAAGGTTCATGTGATGGAAATTGGAAAAGTTTCTGACACGAGATGGTCTTGCCAGGCGAAGCAATTCAATGTTTTCTGGGAGCGGTTGGATATCTTGGTGGAAGTCCTGCAGGATGTGATTGACACAGATACGAACCCCGGTCGCAGAACAGAAGCTACTGGTTATCTTCTGCAGATTGACAGGAAATTTGTGAGATACCTGTTTGCCATCCGACACGTCTTGAACAAAGCCAAATTTGCGTCTGACATGTTGCAGAAACCCTCCAATGATTTGAGTCAAGCCATTGATCTCATTGCAACATTGAAAGATGAACTGGATGACTGTCAAAGCAGGGATAAGATTCAAGAGTTCTGGGATACTGCCGAAGAAGCAGCGGATCGCTTGGAATTGCCGGAAGAAAAAAGACCACCAAGAAAGAGGGCAACGCCTGCTTCTCTTCGAGAGTTTGTTGTGGAAGCATCTTCAGAGCCTCAAGTAGCAAGCGGGTTTGATGGCTACGTACAAAATGTCAAAGAAATACTAAACAGAACAACTGCAGAACTTTGCAAGCGGTTTGACGAAAAAAACATAAAGATCATGAAAGGCATAACTGCATTGGCCCCCAAGTCGAAAAGCTACTTGGACCCAACAACTCTTGTCAATTTTGCTGAGCTTTTTCAGTCTGAAATTGGTGCACTACGCAGTGAAATTGCCACATTTAAATATATGCTCTCAAGAAAAGAAGAAAAACACCGCCCAAGCACACTTCTGCAACTAGAGGCACACTTGGAAAAGCTAAATGAAGCTTTCTTTGAGCTGCACCGGCTTGTATCCATCGCATGCACTTTGCCAGTCTCTTCAGCCGAATGTGAACGCAGCTTCAGCTCTATGCGCCTCATCAAGAGTGATCTGCGCTCACTTATGAAGGACGAGCGTCTAGACAGTCTGATGATGCTAGGTATTCATCGTGCCCGTGGAAGTGCTCTTGACTTGGACTCAGTAGTAGACAGATTTAAGGCTAAGTTCCCGAAGAGTAGAATTGCTCTGTGAAACAATTTTGATTCTTGGACTTGAATTTTCGATATGTAGAAGTGCGTATTCCACCGCTTAGGTCTGTTCCTATAAAGTTACGTTGTGTTCCAGTTTTCCTTAAGTTCAGTTGGTTGCTTTTTATTTAAATTCATACTTTCCAAAGATAGGCCCTACTTGAATTGGCAACGTTTGATGAGTTGTAAAGATTTAGAGTAGTTTTAAGCTTATCTAGAGGCAGCTTTCAAAAAAAATTTCCAGGGACGCCGGAGAAGGGGGGCGCGGGGGGGCAAGCGCCCCTCCTGCCCTTTGCTAGGAGGGGCAAGGGAGGGGGCAAACGTGCCCTTAGTAATATGTCAAAAAACGTAGTAAAAAACACGATTACACCATTTTGATAGCATTTTTAGCCAATCTAATGGGTGTAGCCACCAAAATTTTCCCGGGGGAGTACCCCCGGACCCCCCGAATTTTCGGCTCGCAACGCTCGCCTTCGGTCTCCAGTACCCTTACCATTCCTTGTCGCCCCCTAGCCCTATCGTTCTCTAAAAAAATTAGCCCCTCCGTCGGAAGTGCTAGCCCCTTTGTCGGAGGAAACCTAGCGCCACCACTGTTGCGTGGATTCTAAAAACGAAGTACGAAGTGTCTTCTATATAAGTTGGCCTGCAGAATAGACGGAATACAACAGCATCAGCTTAGAAACACAGATTGAAATCTGGTTTCGGGCTTCCTTTACCATAGTTCAGTTGATGGCGATACGCCATTAACACAACATCCCTGCGCTATGAGAATGTGGCTTAGAGCAACAGTAGAGGGAAAAGACTGTGTTATCTATTTGAGCAGAAAAACCTAGCAAACAATTCAAACTTACATATACTGTTTACGACATTAAAAATAGGACTAGTATACATTAGCCTTGCTTTGACTTTGACTAGTATACATCATCAAAAAAGGACAAGAAAAACTAATTTCTACACGGTGTCCAACTGCACTTTCAAATGTTGCTCTGTTCAGAGGTATATATTCTAGAACGGTCACTCTGAGCTGTTGAAGTGGTCCTTGTACTTTTGAAGTGGTCCATCACCAGTAAGGTCTGTGTACTTTGCCTTTATCAGTTCTTCATAATGTGGGTTAGTCATGTATCGGAAGTGAGGCTTACTATTTGTGACCGCCTCTTTGATTACATTGGCAATATCCTCGCTTTTCTGTCCAAATTCTTTGAATGTCTTGGCAGATCCTTGCTGCAGTTTTCCAAGGCCAGCCCTTGTCACATCATCTAAGCCATCCATGCTCTTGTTCTCTTCTCCTACCCTCGCATTTGTAACAAACTCAGTTAATACAGGTCCAGGCTCAACCAGTGTCATTCTGTAAAAAGGGTACAAAGACTAATTACTAATACTGAACATTCAGTGCTCGTGTGGGAATTCAGCTGTCTGTTTTGTTAAGATGAACTACTGAGACCTCCATATTAGGTAATGAGATACAGTTGATTCTTTCTAAATCGTTAAAGTCTTTTGAATATTATTTTTTAATATTAAGGTACGCATCAAACGTTTGTCTAACGAGGTATTGTTGTTAAACCGTTTCTTGGCTAGGATGCAGATTTCTGAAAAGGGTAAGGGCTATGTTAGAAATGACAACATGTTCTAAAAATATTTTAATTTGAATGAAAGAAAAATCAAGAAAGTGATAACTCGTAAAACATTAGCAATTTAAAGTGCAAATAAAACGATTTTCTATAGTCAGTTGACTTTGCTTTTGCCCCTCTATCTAGACGATTTATCATTGGAAATATCATAACAAAATAGAGAGTGGTTCATTAACAGGGGTGTTAATGAGCCAGCTGCCTGATATCTGCACTATTTTGTAATCTCAACGAAGGATGACTTTTAACAGTGGCAGTTGAGCGTCTGCAAAAGATCACGTACCCAATGCTTTGCTTACTTGGACTTCACCAACAATATGCGAATCGTTCAAAACCAAAACGTTGTCCTTGCTCGTTCAAAGCTTGATCTTTTCTTTTCTCCCTCTCTTCTAAGCCCCTCCCTCTTTTCCCTTCGATGTGGCCCCCCCCGAGACTTTTCCTTACATTACCAACTAAAAAATGATATAAAAGGTCAGAGCAAAGCCTGGGTTAGCGGTTCTTGTAAGAAATGCCCATTCTCGAAAATTCCGTATCTGATCTACTGGCATTAAGAGTCTGTGGGGGATGGGGTAGCACTATATGTTTAAAAAAAAGAAACATTACCATACCTAATGCCTGGGTAGCCAGTTAGCTCAATGGCTAGGGATTCAACAAAACCTTCCAAAGCAAACTTTGTTGCCACGTAGACGCTTCCAAACGGGAAGCCTTTCAAACCTCCGATTGACGTCACTGTAACAGCTTGGCCAGATCCACTCTTTTTCCAAGAAGGAACAAGTTTATTTATAAGGTTAATTGGACCGTAAACGTTTGTAGCGAACATGGCATGTATGTTGGCAGACTCCTGCACATGTGTTGGCCCAAACCAACCAAAGCCAGCATTATTCACTATAATATGTAAATATGAAAAGTTTAAAATAAGAATTGGAAAATGTATTGATTACAAGCTATACTTTCACTTGGTTCGATTCTTTGCATCCACAAAGAAAATGAATCTATGGTACTCAAGCCCTTGATTTTTAATGACATCTATTCCTCAAAAAATAAATAAAAACTAGAAAAACCTTTTGAACAAAGCGAAATGCGGCACGCAACCTTTACGAATTTTGCAACATCTAAAGAAAAACGTTAGAAATACAGGAACAGAAATAATATTTGACGTACAGGAACAGTAAAGAGCGTCAAAATCATGGAAACAAGGAACATGGGGGTACATGATAGCGCGAGGTCTCCAGTTCGGGGAAAGTTTCACTTTTGTTAGACACCGAGAAATCAGGCGTTGTGGTGATTCCGGTCTAAAGCTGGAACTCCAAGAGGCGGCTTGAGTTCGATGAGAAGCTCACTTCCACCGATGTTCACTGCTACGGCCTTGTAAAAGCTGACGCCACTCGTCAACGATGAAAAGGGCGGGAAAATGAAATATGTATCATTTTCTAAAAAATAACTTTGCTGTGTTAAACATTTCATTTTCTCACATTTTCTTTGATCGGGTATCCTCTTGATTCTTTTTCAGAAAACCAGAAACTTTTTTTACGCAGAATAGGTAATTTTCACATTGCCGTCGGAACGAAATTCATATTGGGAGGGGGGGGGCTGCCCATTGGTTTCCTTCTCATTCAGTACACTGTTATAAAGGAAACATACTACAGTTTGACAATTATTTCCCCCGGTTCTGACGGGCCTGTATTCATAAATTAAGACATTTTCATTTTCCCGCCCTTTTCACCGTTGACGAGTGGCGTCAGCTTTTACAAGGCCGTAGCAGTGAACATCGGTGGAAGTGAGCTTCTCATCGATCTTCAAGCCTTTAAAATGCAGATATAAAGTACCTGAGCGCAAAAGAAATTGCACAATTGTAGTTATTTTTGGAGAAAGATGGGCTGCGTTTTCTCTTAGTGGAATTTAGCGATTTTTTCCGTCAGTGACACAAGCATCAATGCCGAAAAGAATATATTTTAACAGTGGCTTGTAAAGGTTAGTTCATATTTGTTAATTAAGTGGATAAAACAACTTTTAAAGATTAAAAATGTAATTTTTATGTTATCCCTCCCTCCTAGTTATTATTAGGGTTTGAAAGGGACAGTTTCAAGCCTTCGTTTCATGAAACGTGAAACGTGAAACTTGAATTCAAGCCAAACTGACGATCGCGGAAGAATTTTGACTGAGTATTGTTGTGTGTAGTTGCGCTGCAATGCTGCTGATTTAACAAGAAAAGAACTGCGGCATCGTGTGTTGAATTACAAAAGGACTTGTCACCTTATTGTTGAATTATCGTCAATGAACCTTCAGAATACTTTGTTTCGTGTTTCTAAGGTGTTTTAGAACGTTGTTTGCTTTGCCTTGATGTGATTCAGTTTTTAAAAGTTGGATGTTAATATTATTAAATTGAGTTCACTGCTTTCCGATGTTTTATTACTGTGATCTCGACTTGAACGCAAACGGATCACTGGAGTATTTAGAAAATTCCTCACAGATACAACAGGAGTTAATTGGCGCAGTCGACAGGATGCTATCATCATTTTACAAACAACTCACCTAAGAAAATCAACAGGTCGTATTCCACTTTTTTTATACAGCTTCAATTATCCGGTAAGCACGGTATTAGATTTTATTCACGTTCGATTTTAAGCGAAGCTATTATCAACATGTCTGAAACTGCAAAATTAATCGAATTAATGCAATTGCAAATTGCAAATCAGCAAAAACAAATGGAAGCTCAAGCGGCAGCTCATCAAGAACAAATGAAGGCTCTTCTCCATACAATGTCTTTTTCAGAATCAGGAACTGCACGTTTTACTTCTACATTACCTTCAGTACCTGTTTTCGAACCATTTGATTCTACAAGTGAATTGTGGCCTGACTACTACGATAGATTTTTGACATTTTTTGGTGCACATAATGTTAATGACGATAGAAAGGCTCAAATTTTCCTAATTAATCAATCTAAGGATGTTTACCGGTTACTGGGAAATTTGGCAAAACAGCAGAATCCACCCAAGCAAATTAATGATCTTAGCATGGATGAAATTGTAAATTTCATGAAGACGCAATATGACCCCAAACGATTTGTTGTACACGAACGCTTCAAGTTTTGGAGTGATATGCGCAGAAAGCCAGGTGAAACGCTACAGGAGCTTGCGGCACGTATTCGCCAAGATGCTGCCACCTGTGGTTTTGCATCCATCAAGGATCCTCAGGATGAAGCACTCAGATCTCGTTTTATTTGTTCTGTAAACAATGAGGCAGTGCTTAAAGCCCTTTTTAAGGTCAAGGACGACGAACTGGATTTTGCTAGGGCTATTGAAATTGCCACATAAACAGAGGATGCAGCTAAAGTGGCTAAAGACACGGTTTATGGGGCTAGGCCAAAATCTGTACACAAGGTCGCTCTACGGCCCTCTAACAAAGCAATGGAAACCAAGTCCAAGACAGGCAAATCAGCTTGTTACCGCTGTGGTGTTGAAACCCACCAAGCACCACAATGCCGTTTCAAGGACTCAGAATGCCACTTCTGCGGAATTAAAGGACACATCTCGAAGGTATGCAGAAAGAAAAATTCTGCAACTATTAAAAGCTCAAAGACGCCGGTAAAACTCATCCATGAAATCAAAGCAGTGAATGAAAGATCCTTGCCAAAGCTGGAAGTACCTATCAAGATCCAAGGGCAAACATGCACAATGGAACTGGATACTGCAACGAATGGGAACTTCATTTCAAAGCAGACATGGAAGGATTTGGGAAGTCCAAATCTTCAGAAGCCTGATTTACACTATGAATCAGCAAGTAAACATAGTTTACCAATCATTGGTACGTTCGTCGCCAAAACGTCAACACAGGAGTCAGAGGAGACACGTGATATCAAGTATACAGTGTCAGAAATCCCAGAACTTGACCTATTGGGACGAACTGCTACTAAGGAGCTGGGCATCTCTGTAGACCAAGCACTCAACGATGTCGAATCATGTCATGCAGTCTTTAGCAATCTAAAGGCCGACATCAAACTACAGGAGAAATGCAAGAAATTGTGCAATGAATTTAAAGATTTATGGAAACCGGAATTAGGATGCCTCAAAGGCTATGAACTCGAAGTAAAGTTTAAGCCCAATGTCCAGCCTATCTTCAGGAAAGCACGGCCAGTTCCATTTGCCATGGAAGCTGATTTGGAAGAAGAATACCAGAAGGGTATAACAAAAGGAGTATGGGAAGCCACACAATTTTGTCAATTTGGGACTCCAGTGGTTCCTATCAAGAAGGCTGTGCTCCCAGGACAAAATAAACCCAAGATCAGAGTCTGTGGGGATTATTCTGTCACAGTCAACCATCAACTGGAGGAACATCGACACCCGCTTCCTCTCCCCGAAGATCTTATGAGAAGATTGGGAGGAGGATATGGATTCACCAAAATTGACTTGGCAGATGCATATAACCAAATCAAGCTTGCGCCGGAAAGTCAACGAAGACTAGCACTTAGCACTCATAAGGGAGTGCTTTTGCAGAAAAG